CGGGCCACTTTGGAAATGCATCATAACTCCGCGGGCCACATATAAAATTATATATCCCCATATTAGATTTAGATACACTATAGACATTTTTTTGGAGTGAAAAATTGAAACATAATGAGTTATTATTATTGTGTTTACTATTATTCTTACATTTCTCATAATTTCGACAGATAATTTTTGAATATATGGATGCACAAATAATGTATTTTTTTAATACATTGGTTTTCACTACTTTGGCCATTATAAAATAAATATATTTTGTAAAAGTGTGATGAATCTCGCGGGCCGGAAAATGTTCAAGGCGGGCCACATGCGGCCCGCGGGTTGGCCACCCCTGCTCTATAGATTGTTCCCTTAACCACCGGTCCACGGCAAGTCTTTTATCGTTCAGAAAAACTTTTACTAACAAAGGTATTTTATTTCTTAAAACTATTGGTGAGGATGCGACAGAAAATTCACTCAGTTTCAAACAACAATCACAGTGATTATCTCCAATTTCTTTTGTTATCGGCCTGCATTCTTTGCAAACATTTACGTATATGCCTTTAAATGTAATTTCTTATTGTAGATTTGTTTTTAATTTAGTAACAAAAGAAACGATTAAAAATTTTATTCCAATAAAAATATATTTCATTTCAGAATTTAATACAAGCAAACACACACATATTTATCGCCATGATAACAAAGGCAATAAACACCTTTGAAACGTCCGTAAACACCTTTGAAATGACCGTAAACGCGCAATATCCCAACAAACTATATTCATACTCGACGCCGTGAGAACCTAGGAATCTCGCCAAACTTGAATTTTATTCAGATAAATTTGCAATAAGCACTGTAATTCAAGATGGGAGGTAGTATGATGTAATACGAAGAAGAAATAAAATATTATGAATTAAACAAAAAAACGTATCCTTTACATAAGATTTAGAAGGGAATTATTGTTCGTATAAATATTTGTTGCTTTTACGTTGAGTGAATTTTGTTTGATACACAGATGTGATCGGTTACGCTACGTGCATTTACACTGATAAATACCAGGCCAAACGATTACAACGACCAGTAATAACCGTGACAAAATATCATGCAGCGCACTGCGGATCCAATGAAGGTCCCATGACATGTCAATTCGACACGGTGTGGAAGAGGAACCACAGAAAAAAGTTGACAACGGGGTTTCACTAAAGAGACTTGTGAAACCGCTCAACAATTGGCAACAGTGCGGTGGTCCACTGGGACGCCTACGGATAATTCCGCTCTGAAGCAAACAATAACACGTTCTCCGGTTGAAGCCAGAAAAATTATGTCCGTATGCATACACCGCTCGATGTTCAGAAGTATTAAAATGTAACCGATCTAATATCCCGAAACTGGGTTTAAAACCCGCGAATGGTTCATTCTCTAACATCAGAAACGTGAGCGCGTTTCTGAGGTATTCATTACTTCATTCAACGACGTTCTCTCAAATACACAGGTTATATATTATTGATTCGGAGGATGAATGTTAATATGGAATTGTAAATTATGTGGATGGACGCTGTCGTGACCAACTGAAAGGACACTATCCCATAATTCATACATGGATAAAATGCCCCCACAATACGAAGCAAGAGTGCTAACCAAGAACAGAGAAGTTAAATATCAAAAGGTATTTACTTCTATAATTTTCGTCGAAATGTTCTGTTACGGAGAACTTCTGAATTGTACCAACGATACAGAGTAGGGGTCAGTAATGGTGATTCAAACTGAGCATCAGAAACTGCGTAAAAGTGCGACACGAAATGCAAATGCAAGTTCCGTGCCATTTTCTGTTTCGCCAGATAAACAAATAATTAAGATCCATTAACAACCATGAAAATCCATCTTAAATATTCTTGTACCCCCACCATACGGCCTTTTTAACTGCAGAGTAAATGGTTCTGGGTGTACCATAAATCATATATGCGATAGGTAATCTTCAGGCAGCCTGCAATCTTATTACAATCCACGACGTTGCGAGTGTTGACCCAAAAGTATCGATCACTGCTTCTTAACACATTACGTGCTGAATAACTACGCCTTCTTGTTTGTGTGATTCAATAATAACGCGACACTTAACACTGACTTTTTGTTATTTAACAACGCTGTCGCTAGCTCAGACTATATAACGCCAAATGATAGGATGATTGGCGAATACGGAATTGAAAATGATTTTCCCAGTTTTCTATGATACGTCTTAAATCAGGCGAAGTAATAAAATTTAAAGAAAACATCGTTGTAATTCTACGAACTGCCGTCCACAAGTGTATTTAACAACGCTGAAATAAATTATAAATATTAGAATGCTCACAACAACAAAGCTTCTTTCCTTAAGATATTACATAATTCTGCCTTTACTAGGAACTCCTAATGTCATACTATAGTCTGCGCATCGAGACAGAGCTGCTTCAGTGAATAAAGGATTCAAAGTCCACTTCATTACTAGCACACATAGAACGCGCATCTGTTCCAGCCCAGTTTAAACTATACTGTAATAGACACGCATTAAATCCTGTTTATTTCAGGTGTACACGTTCATAATTTTCGAAAAAAACTCGACTGAGAATTCTGGCCAAATAAAATTTTCTATCTTTAAACTTTTAAACCAAGATTTGTTCCCTTATTCTCTGAAGGTCGTATGCTTTACATGCAGCTGGACGGATCGACGAACCATGGTATGAGTTAAGAGAAGAGACCTGATTACTAGACAAACACTTGGAACATGAGCACGGGCAAACAAACCGATCCTACGCGTCCTATCCCGTGAACACACACACTTGCGAAGAACAGGGGAACACGCGTGGATCTCTTACTAAGTCAAAAGATAATATACGGCTATGTGATACCAAGATTTAAAGAAAAAGGGCCGACTATTGTTAAGAGACAAAGAAATCATCACAAACCGAGAACAAGGCAAATAAAAACGGCGAGAGATAAAGTGCCTAGTACATAACCACCTGCTTATTTGCCTCACCGATATTTCCAATAGCTTCTGCTTTTCCAAACTCCTCTGCCTTCTTTCCATTTCCCCCCCGAGCACGTTGCTGTACTCCACTTGCACTAGGTCTTCCACCCATTCCATTGCGTAAGAGCAGATGCGAGTCGTAAATTATTTAGGCGACGAAATCGAGAGATAAAACGAAAGGCGACTTCACATCAGAACCCTGATGATGGGGACAGAGTTGGTTCCCGAAACGTCGGTTTACTACGTTAACCAGTTAACGCGGCTGATTGCCCGAGAATATTTTATTGACCACAAGATTTCTTTCATATTACGATAACGTGCATTCAGCCGATAACTTAAAATTTACCGTTAGTCGGTAAATATGTCTTCTAGTCTACAAATACTTCTTAAAATTTCGAACAAGAAGGGTATACATGGAATGTAGCAATCTTCATGAAGAACTAAAAGGGGAAGAAATGGCAGTAGAATGTAAGTGCATGTCAATTGAAGGCAGCGCAGCTGAGGAAAGTTTGGAAGCGAAACTGCATTATTTGCAACGCTGAGAAAAAGTTTTTATTTCTCCGTACGATATTTAATTTTGTTTCGCTTCGTCTCACAATCACAAACAAATGTGAACTTCGTTGAAACACATTTCCGCTTAGATTTAAATATAAAACAGCGGTACACAAGCAGCTATTTCGGATGCGTTTAAAACTCAAAATCGTGTACAATCCGAGAAAAGAGTCGAAACAACGAAAACCAGCAGCGAGTATGACATGCTAGTTCTAGAACGTAATCTATACAAATAACATAACCATCAACCAAGAGGCTACAATTCTTTAGTTATCTTGGTCTGTTCGAGACGAATAAAACTCAAGTCCGCCCTGTTTTCGCCAAACCCCATCAAAACGTATGTCACGAATGTCCTCACTAATAAAATAAAATTACAACCACAAGTATTACCTTGTTTGCCCAAACACAGACAAACATGATCGGCTCCCATCCGTAACTGTCACGCGAATGTATATAGATCTTTATATTGACTGGCAAATATGGCTGGCGAGAAAAAGGCGTGGAGTGAAGAACACTTACATTTTTTTTTAAAACCAGGGCAATGCATGGGAGGTTCCAATTTAAAACCCCACTCACGTATTCACACGCACGTACGTACGACTTGAATGCAAGGTGAGCACGCGAACATACCTCGCATTTCCAAACTGCAACAAAAGCAAGTCGACAGAATGAAAGATACGCAAATTCACTTTCATTTTCATACGCACAACTTGAAGCGTGTTGGGACGGGGCGGGGCGGAGGCCCGGGGACTGCAGCACTAGAGTAATCCGCGGAGGACATGAAGACCAAAGCAGTGACGTACGGACGACGACATTAATGAACGACTGTTTAACATCAGTTCACGCCACAGCTCACAGCCGTTTCATAATGGTTCTAAACGGTAAGGAACATGTACCTAGCTACAGAACGCCACGTTCGAACCAATGAACGTGGAATACGATAAACCCGTGTATTCTGAAGAATTAGTCAGCCGTCGCTTTATTAATATTCGCATAACAAAATGTGGCTAATACGAACGTTTGTAAAAAAAAAAAAAAAAAGCTTACTACGAGGATGATCAACCTTCATCACTGTTTCTACGACGGGATTCAACCTGTGTGGCAAGAAGTCACTGTTGCTAAGGGTCACTCTATCTGCACAACCCGTGATATCAGTGCAATAATGACACAAGACTCAACAATTACGTCGGATGACATCACTACGACCTACATAATATGCCGCGAGGAACACCCATCAAATATCAATGTACTCCAAAGAGTACGTCTTTTCAATTTTGTATCAAAGTAACAATCTCTTTTGTTCCGTCTTATGACATCCAATAATTATTTAAATTTCAAATACAAACCCCCGCATATTTTACGTTCTACCACTTTCACGATTGTGTTTACTTGATTAAAAGAATCCGTATGCCATCTCGTAAACACCAGTGCAAAGATCCCTGCCATAAAATCTTCTTCGCCTTACCTTTTCTCCAAAGAACACCATCCGCAGTAAGGGTCCTTGGCCTCCAGACAGCTGGAGCAGTTTCCATAACTCGTGCAGTGCTCCACTTTTACTTTCGAGATCTGAAGAGAGAGAGAGAGAGAAAAGAGCGAACATCAGTTTCCATCTTCGAGATGCAAGATCACTCGAAGGAGGATGCGACATTTCAAGGTCACTATAACAGAGGATTCAGAAGGTAGCTGCAGTGGCCACGCTACCTACCGTGTGGATGGAATACCCATAATACATTGCGGTCAAAAGCTCCCTCTCAACAACATCGATGCTGAGACGAAACGGAAAGCAGAGAAACAAATGAGAAAGGTGTCATGGGATTTGCTGCAGTCCCAAATAGTGGGACGTGTATGGCTTCTAATTTTATGTCTGTGAAAGAATGGGGACAAAAGGATTTCTCATCATCTCTCCGGTTACAGGCGAAGAAAGAATTTTCTTTATCTCGTTCGTTCACTCGAAGTGAATTGAAGGCACAGAAGACGGACACCCGGAGTTTGGGAATTTGATGTCTGGCTGTAACTTATGCTACGTGTGAGCACAGGCTACATTTCATTCACAGTTTGTTCCATTC